TCTGAGAGAGGGAGAGGGTCCAAGGCCAGGAGAGGGGACCCAGGTCTGATAGAGGGTCGCAGGCCAGGAGAGGGTTCCAGGCCAGGAGAAGGGACCCAGGTCTGAGAGAAGGTCCCAGGCCAGGAGAGGGCACCCAGGTTTATGAGAGGGGACCAGGCCAGGAGAGGGGACACAGGCCCAGAGATGGAGAGGCTTTCAGGGAGCGGGAACGCTACCTCCATGTCACTTAGGGTCTCAGGTCCGAGACTTTGGAGTCCTTGATGGAGTCACAGCTTGAGCACAGCGCTGAGACTGTGGAGGGCCACACGGTGGTTAGCGGAACAGCCATAACGCCAACAGCACAGAGACGTTTCCCTTCCAGCTGTGTTCCGTAAGCGAACGCCACGGTCACCGGACCGCCTTTCTTACTGTTGAAAACCGAGCAGCGGGGTTGCTGGTGGAGGGGTGTGAGCACTGTCGTCTAAGACTGTTCTAGAAGTTTGGAGGTTTTGGAGACCACCAGGCTGCGAGGTAGACAGGTTGAAGCCTCAGATGGGGTTGAAAGGCGTTCCCCTGGGGAACCCTACCCAGTGGGGCTTCAGGTTTTCTGGATTCTTGCTAATGTGCTTCCTGGAGCCCCGGAGTCCCCGGAGGTCTAGTCCCCGAGGGAGGGTCTAGACAGGGACAGGAGGCGGCCACCTTCCCCTTTCTGCCAAGCTCCGTGCACCAGCCCATGCTGTGGCTACACGTTCTGAGGACACACTTCACGCTGGCCAAGGAGAGGCTGCCTGGACGGGACGAGGAAGACATCGGTGACCTCTTTCAGGGTCGGGGGCTGGGCCAAGTCAGGGGGAAGCTGCCAGACCCTCCTCCCAGGGGAATGCCCTGTCCCCGCGGCAGGCAACAGTTTCCGTCCCTGCAAGCTGCTGGAGCTGCTGCGGTCCAGCGACGGGCCGTGATGCCGGGTGAGCTGCTCTGGCCCTTTCCAAGGTGGCCCGTTGATTCCCGCCACTCTCAGGAGGACATGGAGCAGCAGCTTCTTGTAGTTGTCGTTCAGCGGTACCCTTGGTCTTAAATCACCTTCTAAGAAAAGGCGCCTGACTGATCCCTTTTTAAAAATAGCGCGTGACGTTGAGATCTTTCTGGACTCTGGGGAGCTTGCTTCTCAGGGGAGAAGGTTCCTCACGGGGCAGTTTCTGCCCACACACGTAACAGCCCAAGAGGAAGTAAGTTTAAATTGAAACAAGTAAAATTTTGCCAAAATTCTTGAGAATGGGGTAATATGAAATTGCTTTTAAGGGGAAAAATGATAGGATTTTCTTAAAAATGAGAAAAAAGGTCTTTAGAAGTTTTATAAGCATCTGAGGCCCCACACGGTCATTCCCAGAGGCCCTGGTTCTCCTCGGAACTGGCTTTCCTGGCCTGGGCCCGGGTACCAAAGGCTCTGGCTGTGACCTTCGCAGAACACTCCGAGTCTTTCCTCCCTGGGGAGGGGCACAGCCTGTGGACAGTTGAGAGTCCGTTTCTCACAAACTGTGGTGTGAGGTGCTGAGCCTTAGGGTTTCCGAAGCTTCTAGTATATCGGTGTATTGCTGTAGGTGAAACACATCTGCATCACTTCACTGTGGTTGCGGCTTATGGTAGGCTCCCCACAATCGCGTTTGTGGGGTCTTCCAGCATGACTGGCCCCCGGTGAGCGCTCAGTACATAGCAGCCCCTATGGTCAACAATCACCTGCTGGTGGGGGGAGTGCGGCCTGGAGGTTGACCTGGAGGCCAATTGCAATATTTCTCTTCAGATCGTTCAAGAGGCCGGATATGTCATATCTATGGCAGCGTGACAAGCCACCAAACAGAGCCACCGAAGGCAATGGGTCTTACCGCAGCTTGTGCAGTCTGGGATTCAGGCACAGCTCAGCGGTGGGTCCTGGCAAGGGTCCCTTGTGAGGTCACCCTCGAGCTGTCGGCCAGGGTGGTGGTCTCAGAAGGCTCACCGGGACGGCCACCTGCCTCCACACCCATCCCTGTGTTTGTTGCCAGAGCCCTGAGTGTGTGTATGTGTGTGTGTGTGTTTTCTGTAGAAAACACTGAGAGATGCTGTAAGATACAAAGATGGGCGTGAAAATACAGTCCTTGCCTTCAGTGACTTTATAATATCTAAGGAGAAGTGAAGAAGAGACATAAGTGCCTGTCACAGGACACAGGGGGTTGAAGGGAGCAATGACATTGGGTTGACCGTGCTCGCTTGGGGCGACACCAGCATACTTAACCACAGACCAGTCGGCCCTACGGCACCATTCTGGGGGCCCCTGTCATTCCCAGTGCCTCCCCCTTTGTTAGGTGAAGAGGGCCTGGAGGGCTGGGGGACGAGCTGGGGTCACTGTGGTAAAGGTGGAAGATTGGGGGGCAAGTTTTGGTGTTGGGGACAGCTCTGCTTACCAAACTTTGGGGAGGAAGTTCCATAGTTTCACAACTGGTGTC